TGGCTTGTGTATCATCGAATCTGCGTCAGAAAATCCATCGCACGACTTAAAGTCTGTGTTGGCATCTCGCTTAACACGCTACTATGCGTGTCTCGAACTCAATACCGTCGTTGACGGTTCCCAAACGCTCCAAGACCTCGAGATGACAACAGCCGCTGAGGCCCTGAACGTCTTGGAAAGGGTACAAGGAATACTCGATAGAGAGGATGCTGCTATTGGAACACGAGATCTCGCCGAGTTGCGGACCTTGGTGGCAATCACGTTTAAGTGGGGTGTCGATCCTCTGCTTTCGCGGGCAATGCTGGCGTGGCCAAGCAAGTCTGCTCGACCGCAGATAATTGACTTGACAACCGCTCCAGAAGACTACAAGCGTTTATGCAGCACGGTGTCTCGTCTGTTAAGCATCGTTCTCCCCGACAATTCGCCTACATTCATAACCACTACCCTTTTGAACCGGCATCTCGACCAACTCTTGCGACCATGCATCGCGATTGGCTGGCTGCCCAAGTCTCTCGCGTTGGACGCTGCGCCGGAATCCATACGGCCCATGACAATCCGCCTCCTCGGCATGTGCGTCCTTGGTCACTTTGTGTGCCGCGAACAACATTTTAAACTCTCACCAGTCTGCCTCCGTCCCAGACCATCACTGCATTGGGATCCGTATTGTCAATGAAACCTTGTCCGCCTCACGTTCACAAGTCGTGCGCATCTCTCCTCAGCAAGCAGCTACTACGTCCCGACGGTATTCGTGGACTGTGTGCTGCTGTTTTTGGGGAAGACGCCGATGAAGTTCCATTGGAGAAGATTGAACATGTTGCCCGTGTGCTAACGACGTCGCCGGCCGGCATGTCGACGGATGTGAGGGACCATACATCCGCGTAGCAGCAACAAACTCACACTACCCATAGCTCTATTTCTCTACCATCACACCAAGGGTTCTCGAGCTGTTGTCGGATCGTGCCCCTCCAGCGTATAGACGCGCAGCAGCGTTTTCTATATCCCGGATGCTGGCGACGCCCGCATTTCCGGCAGTGCTTTCGTTCTTACACCTCCCCTTTCTTTCCGTCGCTCCAACATCATCGCCGCGAGCAGCATTATCCACAATCATGATGCTCGTCACGAACACCGACCCCTCCCCCACTCTCATATCATCTCTTCTATCGCCTATCGTCTCAGCACTGTACTCCCTACTGTATCACCTGGACCAAACCAAGACGTCCGATCCGAGTCTAAAAGAGCAGTTGCGGGGGCTGCTGGGAACCTGGGGGAGGGTCATCGGTGCCACAGAAGCCCTTGCCATCCTTTGGTCTGTGATTGACGGCGAAGGTGGCGAGTGGCGGGTAGATTTAGAAGGCCAGATCACTCGCCTCGAAAAGTGAGCAACTGAAAGTAGCCCCGTCGTCCTGCATTCACCGAGTTCTAGATCTGAGAAATTAACTCCGCTGGCGCTACTCACTCCAGCGGATGATGACATTGATCTCGATACCAACATCTTGGACCTCTACCCAGATCCCGTCCATTTCGTCCGATTTCTGAAATCCATCCAACGCACAGATATATCCTCCGATCTTTTCGTGCGGTTATTGGAGTCATATCGCGATTCCAAGTCGGACACGGATGGCGATCCCACACAGTTGGTGCATCTCCTACGTTCTAACTAGTTCTCATTGTGGTTAGAACACTACTCTTCTTGCAACTGGTCGTCCAGATGCAGACCCAGCTTTCAGACGGGCCCTCTACTATACTCGGAAAGCCAGCACACATGCTGTCTTTCGTGAAACATGCTCTAGAGCCCGGAGGTCCCGAATCCGAGACCAAGAAACCCAGCACTCACCCCTATCAGCTGGACCTCAGTGAAACTGAAAACGGCGATAGCGACGATGATACACCTGACGCGGACATCATTTCACCGGACGATGAAATGATTGAGACTTCAATCAACCTGCTTCTCGCAGTACTTGAAGGTTAGATCTCTCATTGTAACTATTGCTCGGATCTGATTGGTTCAGCGAACGAGGATCTCTCAGCGAGGACTGCGCCTGTTCTTAATGAGATATTTTCTTTGTTGGAACCACTATCGCTGGCCGGAGCGCCCTCTGTCCAGCCATTGGCAAGGGAGGCAAGAATGGTCATGACCGCTCGTCTAGCTTCGACTTCTGCCCCGAAACGAAGCGCGCGTGGAGAAGACAACACCCAAGAAACTTATCAAAAGGCTCTTAAACTGCTTCAAGATCCAATACTACCTGTCCGAGCGCATGGCCTGTTGCTACTTCGACAGCTAGTCAGCCCGCAAATATCTCAAGGGGCACAAATTTCCGATCCGGCTTTAATTCCAGCCATTCTATCCATATTTCTGCAGTCTGTGCAAGATGACGATTCATACATGTTCCTCAATGCCGTGCAGGGCCTTGCTGCGATGGTGGATACCTATGGCAAAGACGTGCTCAGAGGACTTGTAAAAGAATATGGACAAGGTCTCGATGGCCTTGGTGCCAGTAATATAACACAACATGACATGGATATCCGCATCCGAATTGGGGAAGCACTAGCATCTGTGATCAAAAGGTGTGGTTCAGCTTTGCCGGCATTTAGTAGGTTTTCTTTGCTCTCGACTGTAAATCAACGAGCTGACGACTTTCATCAGTTGATATATTGGTGCCTCCGCTATTCCACGTCGTTCGGTCATCACAGGTTCCCACAACTCTCCGAACCTCAGCCCTTTCACTGTTGGCTGAATGCGAGAATACTTGCCCGTTGTCCCTGGTACCATATGTCACCGATCTCTCCGAAGCCATGGTCGATTTGCTCCAAATCGAGACTACATCCACAGCGCCGGTAGAATCAGAAGACGTCAACCCGACGTCGACCGATTCAAAGCTGCCCGCTTTCCGACGAGCGGCGCTGCATTTTCTCGGGCTCTTGATACGTGAAACTACGAGACAAATATACGATTCCTCACCCACAGAGTTCTCGAACAGGTTGTTGAAGCGCATCAGAACCACCTTGACGTATGTATCCGCGACCGACGGGGACATGGTAGTCCGGGTCATGGCACGCGAGGCCGTCGAAGGACTCTCAGAACTGGAAGAGGCAAAGATGGCTGGATAATACATGTACAAGCGATAAATATCTACCTCGTATCTGTCTCAAATGCGGAGAGCTTGTGACAACTGAGTCAATAAGAAGGTATGTTGCTATAGGTTTCGTTCGCCGAAGCGAACCATCGCAAGTCACACATGTTGAAACGAATGTGCGGCGATGGGAGGAAACCGATGAGGGATATCAGGTGCTCAATGCGTTCGAAGGACTGCCGACTACCCTGCTGATTTCGTCAATACGTCGTCGAAAGTTTTTCCAGTTTGACCGGCCAACAAGAAGGTATGGTGAATGGTCGTTGGTTGCGTCTGTTGGTGCGTCTAGCTTCAAAAATGGGTTCGATATCGCAGAATAATACGCCATATGAAGTGCTTTGAATATCTAGGGATCATTGAGCGTCAAGGTCAGAGACTCGACCAGACTTCACGTACCATATTGACCTCGACATCACGGACCACGGAATCTGAGAGAGCCAACGCAATCACAATCTTGACTTTCAGAGGTGTGATGTACCCGTAAACAGCAACGTCCTCCATAGCGTAGAGAAGCCCAAGATAGCATTCAGTCGACTTTCCTCCTGCGACCACTGCTCCAAAGGTCAGAAGGTGAAGTTAGAGAAGAAGAAGGTTTAACCTCGCTCTTCTATCACGTCCAAGCTTGTGTGCGCAATGTAATGATATTTTATAGCATGGTCATCTTGCTTCGTGAACGTGCGGATGAGGATCGGGTGATTTTGAGGCGAGATGAAGGCCACCTTGCCATCATCTTAGTGTAGTCCTGAACCAGACGGAAGAGGTGATGCTCACGGCGTTGAGCACCTTGCGACTCATCTGAGTGTTAGCGTAAACTAGAAGAGGTGATGACGGGCTGACCAATGCTTGGCATCACTAAGAGATCCAAATAACGTCTTGTGCCAAATTAGGAAGTTCTGTCGATTTCAGACCAATCTATGCTTATACTCAACCAATGAGGGCTCCAGAGAACGTATGTGAGGCCTGGATCACCTCGCTTTAGCTAGGTCCCCCTCCCTTGAAATTACGTCACCCAAAACCTGCAGAAAGTAAACAGACCCCAACACGATAGGGTGCTCGCTCGAGGAAATGCCCCAGAACCTGCAGAAAGTAAACAGACCCCAACAAGATAGGGTGCTGGCTGGTGGAAATGCCCAGGAACCTGCAGAAAGTAAACATACCCAAACACGATAGGGTGCTGGCTGGTGGAAATCATCCCGAGATCGCCGGGGCTGCAAAAGACAAACATATGTCCACTTCGACTAAATACTGGCAAATACGATACTCGTCTGGGGGAATGCTTGTCCGGAGATAGCCGGATCCGTAAAAGACAAATCGTCCAGTGCGTCGACACGCCTCAGCCTCTCTGAGTTCATGCTTTAAGACATTCACATCCACGGCGTAATATTTATTGTGACATCACCCGCGGGAAGCGAGGTTGAAGACGGCAACGCCGGCACCTAGTTTCAAAATGGGCAAGAGAAATGCCGACCGCTAACGTACTATTACGCACGGTAATTCGGTTGCAGTCCGCCCCAGGAGCAACAAAATTCCGGGCTTCTGACTGAGAGATCTAGATCCGCATATTCTTGGGTCACTAATAAAAGACATGCCGAAAAAAATCAAAGGGAAAGAAAACGGTGTCTTTCTCAGCCAACCCTACTTGCCTGGTTCGAACACGCATAAAAGATTCCGATTTGCCTGGTTCGAACTCAATGCGAACTTATAGTGTAAAGCCCAAACCCCTATCGAGTAATCCAGTGCAACTTAGAAAAAAATGGAAAAAATGCACTAACTCGCCCCCCCTTTCGGACTTGGTGCATTTTTTCCATTTTTTTTTTCAATCCCGTACAAATCCGACTGCACTTGCCTGGTTCGAACACGCAAAAAGAATCCGACTTGCCTGGTTCGAACAGGCGACACCCAGATTACGTAAGCAAATTACGCAAGTTAACCAGTTACAGTCTGATGCTCTTCCAACTGAGCTAAAGTCGGCTTGAAGACTCTTTAAACCTTATGCATTATATCCATAAAGAGACTGAGTTCTTTGCACTACACACTAAGGTTCTGCATTGTGTCACAATAGGTACTTTCGGAGAGCTCGTCAACATGTTGTAAATAACACCCAAAATAGTGCGGCAATTCATGAAAGAAAAGCGCCAAGCCGCATTTAAAAACGCAATGCCAGCATATTATATGATGCTATGATATTTTACTGTACATTATCCAGAGATCGTCTAGAGCACCATTAATTGAGAGGCAACGGGTCGAGAAACTCATCTTCCTACCTTCTTGGTAATCTCGTAAATCCGACGTTGGCCTGCAAACAGAATGGCCGCTGTCAGCACACTTTGAACGACTTTGCTGCCGATGCCCTTGTACAGCCCTCCGATCCCTTCGTCCTTGAGAATGGTAAGAAGGCCATCCAACGAAGATTTGTACTTGAGATGTCCTGCATGCAGACGACTTTTCACGACACTGGTTGGAGGTCGGCAACATGAATTTCCGATGAATGGCCAGACGTACATGTATGGATAAGTCGAGGAGGTAGCAACTGCCATATTTTTCAGTTCGTTCCAAAGGTACCTGACAAGAAGACCCACCAAGCTTGGATAACGCGCCAAGAAGGAAAAAATCCCAGTCGGTTAGTACGGCGACGGCAGTAGCGGCCCCGGCGGCTCTCAGTTTAACTGTTCGTCTAGCGACAAGAAAGTTCTTCAATTGTTCAAACACGGTGTACTGCAGAACGGGATTGATGACTAGCACCAACGCAGGTCCGATCCCGCGCCAGAATGCGCTAGGAAGGTCTGAGTGTCGAAAGGAAGAGTTAATTTGAAACCTCACCCAATACCGTCTTTGGCAAGTATACTTTGAATCGTTTCCGCAATTGAGAGCTTTCTCAGTTTGGGAGGGGCAGGATCCAATGATGGTTCCGCCTGGCTCAGCGTTTGGACAGCCTGAGACGTCTGCACGACCCAGATAGGATTACTGATAATTGTTGTCGCAGATCCTTTGAAGTCTCAATTGAAAACCCAGCAAACACGCGCTCTTCTCACCAGCGATGATTCCAATCAATATCGACTCTGCAGTAGTGACTGCTTTAGCTCCTGCTCGTGCGTTTAAAATGATTCCGCGAGAACGTTCGTAGAAATAATAGTATACGCTTCCGAACTGTCAATTTAGGATTTTGACTCGGATGCCTGACATACCCGTTAGTGACTGCGATGCCCAATAGGCTCGAGCTCAGGCCGCTGTACATTCCCAATGGACCCTCGCGTTTGACGATGTCCACCACAGCCTGGTAGACTGACTGGATTCCAATGAGCTCTACGGATCCGCATGCTCGAAGCAGACTCGCCTTCGATTCATTCTTCGTTTCGACGGCCGCGCGGGTGGAGAGGAATATCAACGGGCTTGCCCAGTGGTCAGTACTGCAAGAGAACGCGTGAGATGAACTGGGTTCACTAGGTGCATGACATGGCGACGATGCCCGCTGCACCGCCAGCGACAGCATGAATAACGGAATCGCTCATTGTGCGATTGAATATGGGAGGAAGAGAACGAAGGAGCGAAACGGGGAATGCAAGCTTAGCACTTTACAACGCGGAGCAATCACATGCCATCACAACTTAGTTTTAATAGCCGTTGCGGATTCAATGTCAGGTATTACAGGTGGCTAAGTATATTAAGTTCGACGACTCGTTCCGAATCCCGATTGCAGCTCTTTCAACAGTCGCTTCATCTCAGCAACGTCCGACGCCAGCCCGTTCGAGCTCTGCCCAGGAGAATCCGCCTTGCCTCCCGGATGACCCCCACCGTCTCCCAGCGTTTGCCTACCATCGTCCTGTGACAGCCATTGGTCAAGCTGCGCTGCGATGGAACGCGCCTTAAGCCGAAAATGTGTGCGAATGATGTCTGCAAACGGCTCAGGCGGGTTTTGCAAGTTGCCGAGCATCTGCGAAAAGATCAGTGGATGCAGAGACAACAAGCAGGTGACGGACCGCTGTCTTGACGACCATTCGCCGGACGTTGGCGGAGTCTTGGAAAGCTCAGACTGGTGCATGAAATATAAAAGAACCACATACATGCACGGGACTGCGGGGTTCCGCCGCTCGACGCCCATCCGGGCTCATTGAGATAGGGTTCTTCACAGAGAATCATCGATTGTATCGAGATGAGAACCTGCCCAGGGTCAATGTTGGAATTGCCCGCACAAGATGAAACCTCACCTGCAGGAGTGTCGACCTGCCGGAAACCCAACCGGGCCCGGACCATGTTCCCAGCAATGATAGACAAACTTTCCCGTCCTGGTGCATGAATGTTAGATTTAACGAAAACAACATGCCCTCGCTAAACGTACTGCATAGAGATTGGGGTTGAATCGGTATTTGCCTCCGTTAGTCTAGGATACTGGAGTGTGAGCACTGGGAAGACCGGGCTCCCGCCAGACCTCACCGTCATGTACTTGACACTAGGGGGCGATTGGTTGTAACTTGGACCCAGAAATATATCGAATAGATAGCTGTTTCTTGACGTGAACGGGGGTTGGTCACACGGAAGCTAGCAACTTACCAGCCATTGTAATATCTAGAAGCAAACCAAAGGTCGGCGGCAATGCAAAGAACAAAAAGTACAATCACATACGGTGTGCCTTCGGGTCCCGTAATAAGGGCCTTGATCACATCAACTCGAGTCTCATCGATGCGCAAAAAAATCGACGAGTTCCATGCTATGGGCAGATTATTTGTCAAAATGGAGAGCTTTTGATTGTGTTAGGAAGCTGGTAACTGGGTTGACGGAACCTCACCTCTTTAGCAATGGCGAGAGATCGTTTCGGAATGTCGGACAGAGCCAGCATGCGAATCTCATTGTTGTAATACGATTTATAATGCGGCAGTTGGGGTTCTGGATCATTTTCGGGCGCTGCTGTCGTCGGAATGGTTAAATCGCAGTACTCGAATCTGACACGGGTGGCCCATTCCATGTACGCTTTAGTCGCAGTCTCCTCCGTTGCACCCGCATCAACGAGCATCCCCTCATCGGAAGAGGAGGTGAGGATTTTCGGCAGCGAAGCATGCAGCCGCTCAACGAACGCGTCACCCTTTGTCTCGCGCAACGAGCGATCAATAGCGTTCGCCGTACCAAGAATCCGCTGACAGAAGCTGAGAAGCTTTTGGTTTTCGTCGGCAACCGGTGTGGAGACCTCCTTGGATTTGCCTTTGGTATCAACGGTCATCCGCTTCTGTTCCTCGGTCAGTTCCTCGTCGGTCACGTCCGGGGCTTTGGCACCCTCCAGGGCTTTAAGGGCAGCATGGGCTTGAATAGCGATAGCTTCAAGCAGCTCTCGCGGTCCGGCACTACCCTCGTAGATAATAGTTCGTTCCCGGATAGGTTTGTTGTTGGGCGATTTCCTCGTCGTGACGGATTTGACAGAAGACACTGTCATAATAGGCATAGCCATCATGCTCGCCAATGCCTCATGGCTGGATATTGTCTTATATACGAGGTCAGAATAAGCCAATAATTACAATGCACACCTACCTCAAGCCATTCTAGCAATTTGAAATAAAGTACGGAACGCTCCGACATGTCTGCCAAGGAATCGTTTCTGAGCAATGCACTAGAGACGTAGTTGAACCGTCTTCGGAGATGCGCTAAAGCTGTTGGGTGCGGAAGGAAATCGCTTGGATGGTGTCCCTCGCGATGCAAAGAGGGGAGGTATACTCCAATTTCCGTCAAGAGTTTCCCAATCTTCTCATCCTTCGCAGCTTGCAGGGCCTGGGCTTCTATTTGACCTGAATTCTAGGGCGAAATTTAATAAAAAGGACCACATGAAGGAGAACAAGACCTGCATCCTCTTTCTGGTCGCCAGCATAACCGACTCCGCCCTTGGCTCTCTTTCCGCTAGGACTGGTCCCCTGGAAATAACCCTCATCGTCGTCATCGTCGTCAGCGTCCTTCGACTGCAGCTTTCCGGTTTTCCTACGTTTATTGTTTCGGGCTTTATGGTCCTGCGCCGCACTCGAGTCTTGGGACTGCTCAGAGAACATTTGCTCAAGCATAGAGAGACCAACGCCAAGGATGACGCCTTGTATATCGGCACAGTGGAACAAAGGATCGCCAGGGGCCGCAGCCCCCGGGCGTTGCACCTTTTCAGTTATGGGCTCGCCGCAGGCAAAGCAAAATTCTGAGTGGCACCGCTGACAAGTCTTTTGTACGACGCTTTGCAGGTGTGTAATATACGAAGAAAATTCGGGCTGGGAAGTGTAATCAGCGATGCGACACCAGGGCAGCCCAGCGACTCACAAAGACCGGAAAGAAGTCGCTCTTCTTCCGAAGGACCGATGAGCCACATTCGTGAGGACACACGCATTTCCCTTCACTCAACTGGGAATATAGAGCGAAGAGGAACGACTGCTCTCCGCCAGAAGGCGGCGGGCAGCCCTTCATCCACTCGCCCTGCGTCATGAGCTTGACCGGCTCCGTGCTCCCAGGTAAAACGACGATCTCTGGCTCCTCTTCCACTTCAATGATTTCTTCCCGATGGTCCTTTGAGAAGAATACACCTAAAAAATAGCGATTAATGATTCGAGCGACAGGCGAGGCAGACGGCGTACGGGCATACGGGTCTGCATCGGAATTAGTCCGTGGCCCGTCGGCTACAGGTCCGTCGTCGGAATCGTAGTCGACAAAGTCTTCCTCGCCTGTTCACGGTCAGCACCACCACACCGCGCCAATCAGCGCTTACCATCGTCCTCATCCTCGTCTTCACCCGACCCGTCGCCAGCCGCCGTGTCGTCGTCCTCTTCAGGAGTCTATATCAAAGGGATCGGTATGCATCGCACAGAACGCGCCAACGGCGCTTACCGCCATTCGGAATGTCCGTTTCTCTACCGCGGGTGCGGGCACGGACGCCATGGGCACGTCGCCATCCTCGTCTTTGACGTGATCAAATGCCCCCTCGAAAAAACGTTCAGCGGCCTGCATCACGTCTT